TACATACATACTAGGAGAGGAGATTAGCTGCCAAACAGCTAGTAAAGGACAGAGGATATGAGAAGGAGGATGGCCAGTTTGTGAGGGCACTAGATGCTGCTCTAGCCTCATTTCATGTTGAGCGCCAAGCATTCTACTCTGGTACATTTATAGGCAATCATGTGCATCGAAGTCTAAAGGTACACAAATTGGACACATAGAGAACACATGGAGCTCACAATAAATCTTTTACTTCCCGTAGCCACAAAATATAGACACTTTGTGTCACTCGGTGACGGCTACCGCAGAGGCTCATTGTCCCTCCCTCATCAGTGAAGCAGAGGTCATCAGCAGAGTATTCACCCAAGCCTTCACTCTGTACTCAGCATGTCACCATGGCTGCAATGGGAATTATAAGACGACAGATGAAGAAATTGATTCCCTGAGTATGTATATATAACATTCACATTATTGTATATAATACTTTCTAACATACTTGCAGGTGTAAGCATCAAGAACTTCATGGCCTTTTACCGGGCAAACTTCACTGAGTCTACAGTGACACCAAAACTCCACATGTTAGAGGAGCATGTGATCCCTTGGCTGCGACAGTGGAGGATAGGGTTTGGCTTCATGGGGGAACAAGGAGCAGAGAGTGTGCACGCCGCCATTAACAACATAACTCCCTCATACCTCAACATCCCTGACCAAGTTCAGAGGTTGAAAGGAGTCCTAATGGAGCACCACAGACAAATATGCCCAGAGCTGACGTCATGTCGACCATCTGTGAAAAGGAGAAAGAAGAAAGAAGACTAACTACAATGCACAGCTTTACGCACACTCTATACCGTGCCATGCACATAGGCCTAAAAAGAGCGTGACTACTCGCGCGCAAAACCGGTTAGCAAACTGAGGTTTATAGGACCTCGTTCAAACAACAGCACTGCTTACCCTATCGGTAGTCAACGGGCCCCAAAAACTCCAGCTTGGCCTCGATGGTGGTGGTTTGCTCGAACACCTAAATGGAACTTTTCCCGTTTATAACTCGGGCATGCTTCTGCCCATCAACACGGGAGTTGAACGAGCAAGACGCCCTTTCTTCCCTGAACACGCACGTGTTAAAAATGCAAGCTATGCACGCGTTCCCGCGACGTTAGAGCAACGCTAAACGAATCGTTTAGAAAACGCTATGTCACATTTCCATAGATTCAAGGGCTATCACGTGAGTATCCGTGACGTTCGTTTTTGTCGCAATTTTCAACGCGCGGAAACAGCCGTGAGGAGAGCCCAACAAGAAGATGCCGGCACAGACCCTGGCCCAGTGGAGGACGACGAAGGTCCTCGGGTGGCAGGTGAGGCAACGTCGGCCATGAACGACGTGCTCGACCTGCACCAGAACAATGAGAGTGACGGACCTAGCCTGGAGGAACTAGTTCAGTCACTGAACACCGACCAGGCTAGGGTGTACCAACACGTGAAATCCCACCTCGAGCACCAGCTGACTCACGAGAATAAGCAGTGCAGTTGTACGGACCTAAAACCACTGCACATGTTTGTCAGTGGGGTGGGAGGCACGGGCAAGTCTTTCCTCATCAAGACTGTCCGTGCACTTGTAACAAAGATGTGGGAGGACGAAACACAGTCCACACTGTGTGCCGTCACTGCTCCCACCGGACTGGCAGCATTCAACGTCGGTGGAGTCACCATCCACCGACTGCTGCAACTGCCCATTGAGCACGAGGGCAGAGGAGCTGGCTACTGGAAGCTGGCCAAAGACGCACTGAAGATCATGCGTGCGTCTATGTCCAAGCTCAAACTGCTCATCATAGACGAAGTGTCAATGGTGTCCAGTTTGAACCTCGCGTACATTCACCTCCGTCTCGATGAGATCTTTGCCCGAGACGAGTGGTTTGGTGGGGTGAACGTTCTGTTTGTGGGAGACATTCTGCAACTCCCACCAGTCAACGGAGCAGCTGTGTTTGAAAAGATCAACAACAGATCCGTAACAACCAATCTCGGTTGCATGACGTCGGTCAACATCTGGCAAGAGAACGTGGTCTACGACGAGTTGACCATCAACGAACGCCAGAAAAAGGACCAGGCATTCAGCTCCATGTTGGACGAAGTGCGACGGGGATGCCCGTCACAAAACACTCTCCAGGCTCTGAAGGAGAGGGTAATCACTACACCGACTGTAGACAAGTTTGAAGAGCTGTTGTCTACAGACAAGTCACCACTGTGCCTCTTCCCCACACGTGACGCATGTCAAAAGTTCAACTTGGACATGCTGTCAAAGCTAGGTTACGAACCAAAAGAGCTTCCTTGTGTCGACGAGGTTGACGAAACCCAGGGCACTTTCAAGTGGAGTGAAAAAGCAAAGGAATCGCTGAAAAAAATGAACAGTGACTGTAACCTGACAGCCGGCCTGGAGGCATTACTGCAGGTGGCTGTCGGGGCACGGGTCATGCTGCGTAGGAACATCGACGTCGGCAGTGGCCTCGTGAACGGAGCAGTGGGTACAGTGATTGCCATCAAAGCCCACCACATCACTGTTCAGTTTGACGGGAGGCCACAGCCTCACGACGTCGAGAGGGTAAAGAGCAAGTTTATGCTCATGAAGAAAGTTTATGTGTATCGCAAGCAGTTCCCACTGATCCTGGCATTTGCTGTCACTGTGCACAAGTGTCAGGGTCTGTCGTTGGACTGTGCCGTCATGGACCTGTCGGAGAAGGTGTTCTGTCCAGGTATGGCATACGTGGCACTGTCACGTGTAAAGCAGCTGGAGAACCTGCATCTGATCGCATTCAAAGAGGATGCGATCAAGGTCAGTGCCAAGTGTCTGCAAGAAATCAATCGACTGAGGCAGACATTCCGTCCCAATTTACCTCAGTACTCAGTGCCCCGGGAGAAAAGAGCCACTGTCAAATCGCGAAAGCGCAAGATGAGTGGTGTTGTGGACAACAATCCTCCCAGTCCCAAGAAATTAAAGAAAAGTGGCACTCGGGACAACAATCCCCCCACTCTGAAGACAAGTGGCGCTGTGGACATCAATCCTCCAAGTCCTAAGAAACTAAAAATAAGTGAACATCTGCCGGAGATAAAGGCGGATTTCACGTATAAAAGAAATGTGGGACCTGAAGTTTACCAGAGGACTGGCAGCAACAGACATGCCAACGACTGGGTCTGTGCTTTGTCGAAGCCAATGGAAGCAGATCTGGTGGCCCCGATGTTGTCCTCAAACGTCCTGTGCATGGTAAGAGAAGAGGGTACGAGGTGATGGCAATTGCCTGTTCCGTGCTTTCTCCCATGCCATTACTGGTACACCGAGGCAACATTTCAGAATACGCTCAATTATAACTCAGCACATGAGGTCACTGAGACAGCATAGTCTCAACCACAGCATTGAAAGTTCTGTTCTAGGAATGAGTGTGGAAGAGCATCTTGCACGCTCTGGAATGGAGCATAACGGTGTTTGGGGCACTGACATTGAGATAACTGCCCTAGCACACCTTTTAAACATCAATATTGCCTTGTTTGATGAACCTCTTGCTCAATATGTTGTACGTGGGCCATATATTGTTGATCCTACACAGCAAATTGACAACACGAGGCCCACAATCTATCTGTCATTCACTGGGAATCATTTCAATTTCATACTGTCCCAGCAAGAGTGAATTGCGTGCATGTACCTGCAAGCAGTTGTTAGGACATCGGTAGTACCTACTATCGATGCATATGACTGATGTGTTTATTATGGCGGTGAAGGAGGAGGTGGTGGGTCACTGCTCTTGAGAATTATATACGGCATACAGTGTGCTGAGAAAAACCGCAGTGCGAGTCATGGTATTAGAGAGATGTTCGTACCTCCAGTAAACCTCCCTGTAAAGGTTGAAGGTAGACCTCCCTGTATAGGTTGAAGGTCATGATCTCCCTGAAAAGGTTGAGGTCCATGAGAGTGACCATGACAATGACCACTGGGGTTCATAAACATACACAAATGGAAAACACGTGTGATGACCGAGTTCACGAGTAAGTTTGGCACAATTTTTAATTAATGTATGAGTATAACTGGTATGTATGCATACTCAGGTATCCCACCTACTAACAAAACCTGCCATCAGAGAATCCTGCTTTGGAGAAATCTGGGTATCAACTCTATTGGGACTACTGAGAATCCTCCAGTTGGGTAAACCAGTGAAGTATTGTGTTATGGTCATCTACATACCTGTGTACATGACTTATGTAAACTGTGTAATGTTATACAGATGTGCAGGAGTAGCCACAGTACAACAATGTGTATGTGCACTAGTATTACTCAAGAGGTTCAATCAGGCAGGGGCATTACCAATCTTAACTACCAGGTAAGTCAGTCCAGAATGACTGATGTTAGGCATCACATGTGATACATTATGAATACAGTTAACCACTAGAAATACACAGTGGACACAGGTGGGATCATACCACTGGTGGGAAAGTTCACTTACAAATGGAGGTTACATGGATGACACAACCGTTACGGTGAGATTCTATTCATACTGCCGCAACAACATACATTACGGTGAGTAGGTATTCAGTTTTTGTGTAATGGCTTAGGCTTGTAGCTTCTCGTTTATGTAGGGGAAAACAGTAGACTGTGCAAACTGAATCGTCTACACATCAAGCCAGGACAACCACCATTGCAGTCAGTATTCAGTTTGGCTACATGAATTCTAAATGCACTATTACCTCTAGTGACAAAGGTTGACAAGTCCATGGTCTACCCTGGGTTACAGATGAACATTCCAGCCTTCTATCCAATGCAATCGGGACACTACCAACACACATCCATCGCACTAAACCATGGCTACAGTGCTCAAAACTGCAACTGCACAATTATGGTGAGTATGTATGTACTAAGTTGTTTAGGCTCTTATACAGTCTCTTGGTCAGTTGAGGGAAGGCTGCACCTATATTTGAATATCAGCAGTTCCACTGATTTCCGACTCTGCAGCAAGCATGCTCTCATAGGTATGTACAAAAAATTAACACAATGATTACCTATCTTAACTACCAGGTGTCTCTGGAACTACTATACCACTCTGTAAAGTACTCATAATGGGGCCTGTACACTCTTCTTCTGCCTGAATAGAGGCTGCACCTATGTTTGAATGTCAGCAGGAATACTGTTTTCCACGGATTTCCCCCGACTCTGCAGCACGCATACTCTCGATAGGTATGTACAAAAAATCAACACAATGATTGTGCTGTGATTGTAGTGTTTGCCTCCACTCCACAGCACGTGAGTATGCAGTTCTACTTTGCTAGATGTTACATACAACAAACTGACTCTTGACTATTCATCTAGACTTGTACAATCATAAATAAAGCAGTACTTAGTATAATTATTGATACGCGCGTGCGCATAATGACGTTATCATTGTTCGCCAGCAGCAGAGACCAACTCAGAAATGCTCCTCAAAGCTCGTATGCACACGAAAGGGTGACACCAATAATTATCGGTTGTTTGTGTTCCGTACAAACCTCCCAAGCAGGGCGTGATTGGCTGTGGCAGGGCCATAGCAGCAGCAAGAACCGTGATTTGAGGCGCTTGCTGAAAATATAGGGGGGCCAACCAGCTGAAGCTCTTGCTCACCCATCACGACCGTGCACATTTCGCACATGCTGCCTCCGGGCGCTTCACAGCTAGCTACGTAAGCTAGCCCGGCCAGTACCGTGACCATGACCTTCCACCGGCGTTGTGATAATCATGTGACAGTTATGCAACCTGCACGCGTACGTCCCACACGGAGGCCATAGGAGCACGCACGCGCGCACACACGTATACGGTACTATATATACTACTACGCGGGGGCGCCGAGTAGGCGGTCACGCGATTGCGAAAGGCGTGGCGCCAGGGATCCTAAGGATCAAAATGCCCCGGATCATATCGTGACTGACCAATCACATGCCTGCTTTTCAGAGTCTGCATTTGTATAAAATGGGAGTGTTTTGCACAATTAGTCATTTTCAAGAATGTCGGCAGCCGGGGCTCCTCCTCCACCTCCTCCTCCTTCTTCTCGTCCCCCATCTCCCCCAGACGCTTCTATTCTGGACGAAGGTATATAAAAGGCTATTGAAAAAGACGAACACTACGTCATTGTGCCTGTGTATCAACAGAGATGATGGGAGAGGAGGGCGTCCGACAGGACGTCAGGGTTCTCGGTAGGTTTAAACCAGATTGTATATACAAGGGGAGAAAATACTTCCTACAGAAGACTTGGTCGGGGAGCTGCAGGAAAAGCTACGAAGAATGGCCGAGCAAATGGTACTTATAACTGTATTGCTTGCCTTCTTGCGTCTTTACTGTGTTTGTTTCAATGCAGCAGCAACAGCAACAGCAGCACCAAGTGCAGCTGCAGCAACAACAGCAACAAATGGTAAACATAGCTGTAATGCTTGCCTTTTTGGTCTTTACTGTGTTTGTTAATGCAGCAACAGCAGCTACAGCAGCACCAGCGGCAACAGCAGCAAATGGTACTTATAGCTGTATTGCCTTGGTTTTGCGTCTTTACTGTGTTTGTTTCAATGCAGCAGCAACAGCAACAGCAGCAAATGGTACTTATAGCTATATTGCTTGCATTATTGCGTCTTTACTGTCAATGCAGCAACGGCTGCAACAACAGCAACGCACAGCAGCAGCAGCAGCGCCAGCAGCGCAGCAACAGCAGCAGCAGCCACAGCAACAAATGGTACTTATAGCTGTATTGCTTGCCTTCTTGCATCTTTACGTTTCACTGCAGCCACAGCCACAGCAACAAATGGTACTTATAGCTGTATTGCTTGCCTTCTTGCATCTTTACGTTTCACTGCAGCAACAGCAGCAGCCACAGCCACAGCCACGGAGGGGGAGAGGGAGGAGGAGGAGGTGGAGAGGGACCCAGAGACAATCTATTCAAAAAATAATATACTTTAATAAAAAGTAGTGTCTACTTATGTACCATTATACCCACTATCATATACTCCATCTATCTATCACTATCATATATTAAATTTTATTCAAAGTTCAATTCAGTTGCAACGGCGCATGATAAATTTTCATAGTTGCCTATGTAGGGATGAGGGCAGAGGAACACTTAGTAGAACCAGGAATTCTATTGGACTCCCCTGAGGCCCCTTGGAACATCTTTGTGCACGACTGACTCTAGACAACATGTCATGTAAACTACACAATCGAGGGAGATAGGGAGGGAGAGGGAGAGGGAGAGGGAGGAGAGATGGTGTTTGTGGAAGCACAGACGTGCTAGTGAGGAGTAGGACACCACAACAGCCCTAAAGTGCAAACCCTCGGCACACTTCATGTACGTGTAAGTAAATGCGTGCGCCGCACCACTAATTGACAGGCATGGTTAGTTTTAGTTGAAGCTACACTACTAGATAGAATGTGTGAGTCTATTCATTGCAACTCTTGCTACCTCCGATGTACGCAGCTCAAGCAGATCAGACCGAGATATATACATAAACCAGTTCAAATTTGCACATTGGCTTTTTCGCTCGTGTTTCACGCCGTAACTCGGAGTTTAACAGTAAACCATACATCCGATGCTGAATACGTGTACGCAAGGTTGTCGGTATGGCGTTGAAAAAGAGGAAAAGAGGTTGCGGATGCGCGCGGGCGAGGGTTAATAAAGGAATGGCCTCTGGGAGTCTCTCACTCTCTAATTATCACAACCGTACTTAAACATATCTTTAAAAAATTATGTCGTGAACCCCTGGCTGGTTGCAATGGTCAACCAAGAGAATCCCTCCTTCAGCCCACCCCACAACTAGACACACACCAACCTAGTTCCAAGAGTGCATCACGTTCATGTATTAAGGTCTAGGGGCCAAAGAAAAGGGCAGGGGAGACAGCGTATTCTTTGCCGTTGTTTATGGGTACCAGAAAAATGGGTTTGTGTAGACATGTACCTAATGTAGGCTTGTTAACAGGAACATACCCATTTACATGTGGACATAAACATCACCTACACATGCAGACAGACTAAATGGCTACCAGAATCACATGGCTCCTGCATGCTACATGTGTCTGTCAGTCCGTCTAGTCTAGCAACTGCACGTGGTCATAAATTGAACTGCGCGTGCGTACGTACATCCTACCTTGGGGCGTGGCTATCAGCACATTTGCTCCGCCTCCTCCACACTTTTCTCGCGCGGCGGCGCCGTCGAGCGAGCCTAGCCTGACCTCGCGTCCAGGCGGCCCTTCCCCATCCTCCATGGACGACTTCATTCTGTGGGACAAACGGGAGGACTGTGACAGGTTTGGAGGATGACGATGCGCTACACGAAATGGTGTGCATGCACTCACCTCTCGATGCTCCTGCTGCTAGTCTGCTGCCCTGCTGCTGAACTGGGGCCTGCATGCTAGCTCTATGATCCTCGCTCCACTTTTTCCGAACCGCCGCGCCTGGGGGCACGCACGAGCACGCGCGCGCGATGCTGAGTTAGTTGCCGGCATGCCCTGTGGCCACGTGACGCGAGTATATAGGGCGCGGTTGATGGGCATGCGCAAAGAGACAACAAGCTCTGTGAGAGCTCAGGCATATAAAAATGAGAGGAGACAAGTAAATAAAAAATCCTGCGGATTAAAAAAAGAGTGCATATAGGGATCGTATAAAAAGAAAGGGAGACAAGATAGGGATTGTGTTTGTGGAAGCACAGAGATGCTAGCGAGGAGTTAGGACTCCCACAGGTCATTACAACAGCCCGATAATCGTCGTACGGTGGGAGTGAAGGTGTATAAATTGCAAAAGTAATGTACTACTCAATAATGATCATTGTTTACATTTCATTGATCTGTCTGCTACAATCCCACTACGTGTATATGTACATCAAGGTGCGGGCAGTTACGTGTATCTGTGTGTAATCAGCTGCACCAAAACAATGTATATACATGCATGACATCATTACATGGAAAGCATACGTATAATACCACAAAACCAAATTCAAGTAGGCAGGGTTGCTGATACTTATGCGAGGAGGTTTTCCTCTGCGGCAAGCACCGAGACGACGATATAGGGCTGTTGAATGACCGTGGGGAGTCCTAACTCCTCGCTAGCATCTCTGTGCTTCCACAAACACAA